TGGAGGTACAAGGTACTTGGCGACTTGCCTAATCCGAAGCCAGAGTCAAAGCTAAGGTTCCTGAGCCAAAAAATCAGCCTTCCCGCCATGACACTTACCGCCGTATCGAACCCTTCGTCGGGCCTTCGACGAAGGTTCTGGCCTCATCACTGTCTGGTCGCACTGACAGCGCTAGCCCAAGTCGCCAACTGACACTCGGCCAAGCTAAATCCTCAGACTCTTCAGCCTGCAATGTCTGCTCACGGTCTCACCGGCCTCCCCATCATCATGCCCTTTTGGGCCGATCCGGTGCCGCATGAGGCGTCTTCCTTTCCGACCGACCTTCGTCTGCCTTGCCCTGTTTTACTCCGCATCTCTTTCGTCTGATCTTTGCTGACGAGCCCTTCGCTGTGGAACCATGCCATTGTTCCAGCTGCCTCAACCGGTCAGAAACGTCCAGGAACCCGCAGCTCTAATGTGTGACAGAGGCTCCTCCTGCGTGAGAGAAAAAGACTCGGCATCAAACACGACCAACTCCTCCTCACCCACACTTCTGCACAGTCTGGGCATTGTTACATTACGCCATAAGACTGGGTGGACCGGCGGTGGACGTCGCCAGACGAGGCTGGGGGAAGACATCGCTGCACAATCCATACCTGCGCAGAAGACTATGAGTTTAATATCGGATATCCATCCCATCCATGCAACTGTAACGGCTTTTTCATCTGCACTTGCAGCACCAGCTCGAGCGCTTGCGTACGCCCTAATAAACGCTCTCACTTCCGTAGCTTTCTGGATATCAAACGTGCCTTTCTAAGAACAGGGGAAGCTATAGCACCCTCTCCACATCGGATTCGCTGCGCTACGAGGTCTGCAGAGCGAAGCTTCCGCGGTGAAACGCTCTCAGCAAACGACAAAAGCCCAGGACCACTTGTGGATGGCGTCAAAGCAACGCAAGTCACTTCAGCATGCCGTGAGGCTCTGTCGCAGTTTGCTCAAGGCCGTTGATATTTTCAGAGTTTGGCCACCACAAGTCATTACACACACATCTCTGACTCGGAGAAATTCATGGAGATTTTTTCTTAAACCTAAGGGGCGACTTACACGCAACAATCATAAACTGACAGCGACGGCGGCGGGTTGGCGTCACGCCCAATCCAACCTGACCCAGCTGGTTATTCGAGTCAATCGATTCAACCGGCCAGGTGGCGCAAACTAACGAGGTTGCGAGTGCGCCAAAGTCAGGGACTCACCTGCAGACTGACTTGGCTCGTCTGGCTATGACCCGAGTCGTCTTCGACCTGTCATTGTGGGATGATGAGGAGCCGGTATCTTGATGGGACTGGTCGACAGCTTAGTGGAGATCGCGGGGTCTGCTCAATCTCGACCGCAGTCTGCGCCACGCAGAGCTTCCCGACGAGGATGGGACTGGTGGCTTTTTTCGTCCTGCTCGACTCCCTGCCCTTGCTGGCTCGCAGAAGAGAAGTGTACTTTGTTGTTGGTACGGCTGGGGTTTCCAAGGATCCCGTTCCAGAGGCGACGGCGCGCTCCATCACCTTTTCCCAATAATTTTACGACGCTTGATTAAGGCCGACGGCGGCTGGAGGACGCGCAACTTCATCGACCGGGGTCCGCAGGCCGTGTCGGTACTGAAGAAATACCTGAAGGTTGCCATTTTTGGGCCAACGCTCGAGACAACGCCTTTGTCCTCGTCGGTATCCCACAACGGCATCCCCTCCTCCCTTCTCCTCCTCCTCCACCACCACCACCCCCTCCCTCCCTAATACATAGTACCAAGTACTCCAGAAAGGCTGCCGACGCCTGTCATCCAGCAAATAGAATGACAGCAGGGCCGCCTTTTACCGACCAACCGAAATGGACAAGGTCACGAATACACGGTGAGCAGGGCAGAATGGGGTGAGGAAAGCGACCATGTCGACATTCACATGCTAAAAACTAGCGGTGGCCATTCTTGTCGACGACCTCGCAGGGCATCGAAAATGGAACATACCGAGGAACCCCGTTACCCACCCCAGGTCCTGTCTTTTTCTTGGCTGCGCTCCTTTGCCGTTGAGTTGGCCAGTCGACAAGCAGCCCAGCCGCTCGTCGCTGCGCAGAAGCATCCCACCCACCACCCAGTGCAATTCAAGCTTGATATGAAAGGGGCCTGTTCCTGGCTGGACAATGGAAAAGGTAATTGGCATGTTCCAATCAAGCATGTTGATGGAAGAATACAAGGGGAACGGCTATCCGTTCAACTGGCGCAATGGTGGTTTCAGGGCGCATAGCTTGCCCTGCATCCTGGGGCTGAGTGTGCCTCGGATCCGAACGTGTGCCAATGAACCTCCAGCCTAGCGCTGGAGGCTAGCATCTGTCACGCTCGGTTGTTCCCTTTCGCACAACTGGTTCCTGGAATCGTTCGTTCAGGGGGTCTCCTGCTCTTCGCCCCCAAGATCTCGGGCACACGCTGGTAAGCGTCGCTGAGAGCACAGGGGTCCCTCATCTGGAGGGTATCATTCGGGCGGCACGAGGGGTGTGTCCCGAGCCTGGACGGTCCGAATGGGCACCCAGTTGATGTCCACTCTCGTGCTCCTGATCCATGTTGGTCAGATTGTGTTGGTGGTCTTTCGTGACTCGCATATGAGCATTTGCCGATGATTAGGCGATCCGAACATGCGAGAAGCCGACGACGGCGATGACCCAAGTCCAACTGCTCTCTGCTCTTTGCTCTTTGCGGGGGGAAGCCGGCCTGCCTCCTCGATGCGAGATGACTGCTGTCCACCGGGAGGGAAAAAGGGCACACAGTGAAGCTGACCTTTAACGATTCGGCCTAAACTTCAGCGGTCGGGGGCTGGCTGGCTGCATGGAGGTAGCACCAGATGACTCGGCCGAACAAGGGGCGCGGCAGCTGGGAAGGCCCAGTCCCGTCCGTCCGCCCGCTCCGGGGAATCTTTAAACATTTGGGCGACGAACCAAGACGCACTGCCGTTGCGTCGATGACAGCCACTTAGCCCGTTCCAGAAATTGGTGTCCGAGGCGGCTGCAGCAAGGACATCGGTACCCAAGGTATTGACACCGCGCGCCGAGTGAAGAACTGGGCCGACGGGCGGGAAATGGATCGGGAAGCGCAGCAGCCCGGCCACGCGCGTAGGTAGCTTGGGGTGCAGAGTGTTGGCTGCTGCTGCAGCTGCGTGCCATGCTGCCCGGCTGACGAATCGCGGATCTTCTGCATTGCGTTGCCAATTGGGCGTCGATGATGGTTGAGGGTGTGGTTGGAGTATCCAATAAGTCACGGACTCACGGTCACAGGGCATTGATGAGACGCCTCCTCTGCTGGCGGCATGCAGCTGGGATCATGGCACAGTAAAATCACAGTCATCTTGTTCTATTGCTTCCATCATGCTTCCAACAAGCTTCTCGAAGAGCGGGAGAAGCGCAGTGGAAAGCGGCACGGCATGATATGCTAGAGCGGGCGTCAAATTTCCTCGGCCCCCATGGACGAAATGGATGGTTCGGATGACAAGTCGTGCCGTGGGACGAGGTGTGTCTACCGTGGGGTCGGACCAGGTCCAGCAGCGCGTTTTACGAATGGAACGGCCCAACGTGGCTTCTGAGCATTAAAGTTCATTAGAGCTGTCGGCAAATAAGATAAAAAGGAACAGAAGGATCCAAGGGAAAGGGGATGAAGTCATGATGGGGACCTCGGGAATAGGTTCTCTGGTTGATCTGGAGAGAGGTAATTAAACTTTGGAAAAACCGCAAGGGGCGGTTCCTTGATGCTTGCACAGGCTGCTCCTTTTTCTCCAGTCAAGGGTCCCGTCAGCCTTACGCTACTGCTACCACGACCACGAATGGGCAAGGCGCCGTGAGATGATCTTAGCTTTCCAAGAAGTCTCCCCGTCGCGCGGAGGTGTGGTAACATGGGGGCGAAATAGCGGTTTGCATGGGTGTGGGAAGGGAAGGGGAGAAAAGGAAAACCCTCAAGTTGTCGTGGACACGTTTGGTTTGGTCTTTTTTTTTTTTTTTTTTCGTATCCATATCCGCAGTTGCGAGACGAGACGAGAGTGGATTTGGATTCGATTCATGGATGTTCAGGAACGCAATGGCGGCCCAGGGTCATAAGCGCCGATAACCCGCAGAAAACGACCCCCAAGTGGCATTTTGGAGGGGTCGGAGGGCACGGGATGGATGGAAATGGGCATCGTTCGATGCTCCTTTTGCGCGGTATCCAAGAGGTTATTTTAGATTTATTGGAAGATCATCGAGAATCCTTTAAATGGTGGATCTCCGCTGACGACACGGGGGCCCGACACAGAGCAGGTAAGGTACTCTGAAAAGCGGGGACGAGCTGTCCGATTCCGGCAAGTGAGGGGCAATATTCCAGCGCTCTGCCATCACTGTAAGATTAGTGATTCATGCGCCAACTGCTTTTTGGCTGGCGACCCCTCGAACCCCCCGACGTCGCTTATCTAATCCTCGTCGTTGGGCGGGGGCACCTGGGGCAATACCTCCAAAAATATTGATTCACTCATGCCAGCTCAATTTCTTTGCCATCCACAAGCCCATCCACAGCCTCATCGCCAACGACAAGAAGACCATCAGGAAAAACAAGCACACCCACACATACACCAGCCGTAACGAGGGTGATTTCCGAAAAAAGAACACATTGCGAGAGCAGCTGCAGCAGAGCAATACGCCATCACCACCCATCTCAATCTCAACTCACTCCCGCGGCCTCGTCCCGCCTTAACCGAGCGACTGGGGGGGCCTTTGAGAGGGCATCTCGAATCGACAAAGTACCAGCAGCAGCAGCAGCAATCTTTCTTGTCGGCCTCTTCTTTGGGACTTTTGTGCTAGCCGGAGAGCGACGCCGAGGTCAAGCGGAGAAGCATCTTCAGGGCCACTGATTGCACTTGCTGGGGTGTCCAAAGACGTAACCCTGGAAGTCTTGAGAGACATCATCATCAAAGACGAGTCACCAGGAAGAGAAAGAGGAAAAAGTTGCGCATATCTTGACCACCATGGACAAAGATCTCGACAATGCGAACCCGACCATCCTGAGCGCGGCTCAGATGCCGACGCGTCAGACCAAGAGGATAGCGCCAAGGAAGGGCCCAGATGCCAAATATAACGATGTCATTCTGGCCAAACCTGCCTACCTGTCACGCCCCTTCTGCGATGACGACTCGTTATGGCCCGACAGGGACGTTGTCGATGACGACTTTGCTGAGGAGCCCATCGATGAGCAGGAAATTTACGGTGAGAGGCCTCTTTCCCCTTTTTCCTCTACCTATCCATTGTTCTGTCACCTGCGTCTCATGCAATCGTTTCCTTGCGTAAAGCAAAAAGACTGGAAAGGTGCACCATGCCGCGTCTTCCAGACAAGTCTACTCAGAGTCATGGTCCACACGAGGATAGACGAGGCAAGCGCCACGCGCTGCAGCCATAACATATCACGAGACCGTTGGCCCCTCTTTACCATCGCGATGCATAGTCGCATTGATCTCAGTTGCTGCGTGATGCGTCGACGAGGATGCTCACCGTTGTGGGTTTCGCTTCCGCCTCCTCGCAAGGCGAGGAATGCCCATTCTTCTCTCTCCAGTTCGACCTAACGCCGAACCGCCGCGAATCCCCTGCCACACTTACCAGACCCTGTAGGGATCACGCAACTGACGTTTCATAGACTTGATATCTACCATCTCTGATCCAGAGCACCCCCTCTCTCTGGGCCAGCTGGCGGTCGTCAACCTTCCTGACATCCACATCAACCCACCTCCCTGTTCAGGACCGTCAGACCCCAATGCGCTGGTGCAGGTCAAGGTCGACTTGACGCCCACCGTATCACACTGCTCTCTTGCCACCGTCCTTGGCTTGGGGGTTCGTGTGCGTCTGGAGCAAGCGCTCCCCCCCAATTACCGCGTCGACGTCAGGGTCAAGGAGAACGCCCACGCCCAGGATGACCAGGTCAACAAACAGCTGAGTGACAAGGAGCGCGTCGCTGCCGCCCTGGAGAATGACACCCTCAGGGGGGTTCTGGACAAGATGCTCGAAACCTGCGTATGATCGGTGCGAATCCGTCACGGCTATCGGCGTATAACGTCGCAGAACTGCAGATTGCATATCGCCATCTGGGTCTAGGTTGAACTTGAGATGGTGAAATGGCAAATTTATCCACAATCGACATTTGCTTGACAGCCGGAAATAAACAAGGAATCGTGTCTTTAAATAGGTGTGATCGACGCTCTGTACCTTTTTTTTCTTGACCAAGGCATCGCCACCTTGGCAGGGGGATTATTAAGTATATCGATTTTTCTGCCATGGCAAAACCAGAAGACACTCACCCAGCCAGCCCAGTATTGGCAACTCACATACCCATGGCGGGATCGACAGGTACCGTCATCCACCGACCGGTGCACGAAAAGGGTCTTTTTGCTTACGGGACTTGCATCCGCGGCGGCGGCGGCGCAGCCTTCTCTCCATCTGACGAAAGCTCGCAGGGTCTGGGCGGGATCGGCCAACGGTTCATGACTCTCGCAAGCCCGGCGGCCGTTTTCCGGGTAGGGCTGGGACGACGGGAAGAGGGGGAGGTTTCTTGCTGCTCTTCACGAAAATGTGCTCGGACTGTTTGCGTGGGTGGTCCACACCACGTTTCCGTGACGGAAAAAATAGAGGAACTATGTCATGAGCAATATGATGGCTTTCCGAGCGGGATGATGTGTTCACACATTTGTCGGAATGGGTAGTAGCAATAACACGTCGTACCTATCGAGCAGCTAGCACATGTTTACACCGCCCATGTTCCCGTGCCCTTCCGACATGGTTGGAAACATTGTGCTTACCACCATCTATATCAACTGCCATATTATTGCATTCAATAGCCGAGCCAGAGGTATCATCCCTCTGGCTCGCTAACTGCCCACCGCGACAGCCGACGTGATTACCGGTTCAGGGTCTTTTTAACGAAGAGATAATGAAGTTTATCCCTCAAACATTCTGCACTAGTTGCCAGGGGACGACGACGAGAAATCGTTTCTCGGTATGCGGATCTGCAATAAGATGGATGGGCTTCGTCCAAGGCAATGGACCGTCCTGTCCAACTTCGCCTGCACCAAAAACTTGCATGGCGTTACATTTGTGGCGCTGGCCATGTCCTCTCGCTCCTGCCGCGCCCCTGCCCCCAACCCAACCACACGAGGGGGTAAGGTAGGTAGGTAGGTAGGCAAGTGTTTTGCTGCTGGGTGCAAGTCAGATCGAAGAACGGCACGGGGAGAAACCAACCACCAGCAGCGTTACATCCAGCAAAACACATCCTTTTGCTGCAGCGCAAGCAAGCAAGCCCACGGGCCGTAGGTAACGCTGCAATTGTTGGATTCCTTCCTTCCTTCACGCCCCTCCCCCCCTTCTGGCGGCGCAAAACTCTAATACGTAGTGCAGCAGTTGTAAGTTGCCCAAGGGTACGCAGGTTGGTTTTGCAGATCTACCGTGTAGGAGTGAGTGAATCCACGCACGGCACGACGAGCTAAGTTTCCCGTGCCTCGAACAGACAGAAGGGAACCACACGTACGGACGTATTATGTTTGTTGGATCAGCTTCGTGGTTTACCCGGCCACGAGGCAATTGGTGGACGGAGGTCCCTCTTAGCTCGGGGTAGGTAGGTCAGGTACCTAAGGTAGGGTTCGAATGAAGAATCCCCGTCCGATCTGCAACTCCCGAGCCTTCCGTGGCCCAAGCTCTTTTCCCTATTCTCATCGTCTTCGTCCGCGGCTTCTCGTCTTGTTGGATTTGCACTTTTCGTTCGCTTTTGGGGGGGGCTCGTCATGGCTAGCGACACTCGTCGTCGTCACGCTGTCACAGGTTCGATCAAGAAGGGGAGATTCTGGCTAGCAGTCGAATCCGTGGCTGCGCCTCCCCCACAGCGACAGGTCTGGATGCGCGGTTGCAGGGCCATGCCTAGCAGGAGGTAAGCCGCGGGCCACACACACCATCTAACGTCGATCGATCGTGTCCAATGAAGACCACTCGGCGATATTGAACTTGCGTCACACGGCATGCCCGTCGAGATTCGACGAGTATCAGAGGCGACAGGCGGGATGCATCTTCAACACAGGGAGCCGCCTCCTCTCCCGTCTCCCGTCTCCCGTCTCCCGCCATGCGCTGCAGCATCGTGACGATAACCTGACCAGAGTCCGACGTTGGAAGGTCGCATGGGGCTCTCTCCTTCTTTATCGGCGAGACGGCGACGAAGGCGAGTGACGGGGAATGTGCGCTCAGCCACTCAGCCTGAATCGGAAAGAGACAGAGATTACGCCCAATGAGGACGTCTGTCAAGCTCAAGAAGGAAGTTCCCAACGAAAAATGCGTGTTCAACGGGGTGTGGGTTGGCATGTGCCGAAGGGGGGGCAGACAACCTCTCTCGAGGCGTCAAAACGGCAGGTCCCTGGGCCGGCAGGTAGGTAGGCATGATACGGTACTTCCTTGTCGTTGTTGGTGGTGGTGTGGGATATGGGGGCGGCCGGCCATCTGGGGTCGCGGCCAGGGCGGCGGCGTTGCAAAGAGGAAGGGCCTGGATCTTGGGATACGGAGGGTTGTGATGCATGGCGAGGTAGGTTTAAGGAGGTTGACTTGCAGCGAGAAGTCCCTTGCCAAAGTCGCATATCACATCATGTCTCTGGTTCTGCAGTGGCTGGTGGGGGTGTGTTCAATGTGTTGTTGACGTTGGAAAGCTTTCGTTGTGTGTTGTCGTGATTGCTTCCGAGTTTCCTCTAAAGGAAGGCTGAAAGTCTTGGAAACCCGGTCCGCGCGATTTGCCCACATGGCTCTTCGTCATCTACTACCCTACTCTTGATGCTGAAGATAGCGCAAGGCAAGGTGCGCTTCTTTCGCAGAACCGGTCCAGTTGTCTTGTGTCTCTCTCTCACACACAATTCGTACCTAAGGATGCAAGTTGTCAAAAGTGCAGCTCACCCAAGCGGACGGCCGGAGCCCGCCGATCATCCATCCTTAACCCTGTCTCTTTCTTGTCTCTCTGCGTCGTCTAGCAGGACTTGGCGGCGAACCCTGGTTTCTGGTCGTCCATCGACACAATCTACGGATACAACGAAAGCTGGCAGAAGAGAGTTTCGGTGAACTGTCCGGGCGATATCCCGCTTTACAAACGGTACCGCGGTAAACCATGATAATTCCGCGGTAGTACCGCTGTCAAAATGTCACTGCCGCCGCGCCAGGGCCACGACTCTCTACCGTCGCATTTCAATATACGTCGGGTGGCGGAAGAGATACACCCGTTTCCTCTTTTTCATCTTTTGTTTCTTTTTAATGTATCTTTGCCTGCCTGCTGCCAATGCGGCAGGGCGCAGGGCACGCGACACTACGCGCATGTTCACACGCAGTTTCCGTTTCCAGGGGAAGTCCCATGCGGATCTACCATCTGCAGTTATGCGCTTACGACAAGTCAGGCGTCAACTTCAACTTGGCACAGCAGTGACAACGACGAATACTGTCGCGTCGCATAACGCTCTTCATTGCTTTGCTTCATATGCAAAGGCAAAAGAGTACGGCGTAGCAGCAATATGCAGCAAGGTAGACTTTTTCGCGACATGGAAGTGCCAAACAAATACGTGTCGTTATACCCTCTATGATGGTCTCAGCGTGGCGATATACATGATTCGCAAAGAGCTGGGCGGGGGGAATACGTGGGCTGCTGGCGTCTGTCTCGTCGCCTCTGACACTTTACCCGCGCGGCGTTTACTACAGGATCCCTTGGAGACGTGCGCGCCAAAGAAAAAGATGTCACCTAGCAAAAGGAAAAAACCTTTACGGTGGCTGCGCTAGATGAGCTCGCGTGGCTTAGAGTGGGCTATCTCGGAGTCTACGATCTGGGCTTTTCGACATCTGCCGACCCGATGTTTTGCCAGTATGGATACCAGAATCGACCGTCTGAGCTCGAGAAGGCGACGTCAGTGGGGTTTTGAGGGGGGCAAAAGGGGGCGTGGTGAAGGGACCAGAAGGTTTTCCGGGTGTAGTTTGGCTTGTCTTTTTTAAAAAAATTTGGTTCGGTATCCGTATTCTCGCGTGGGTTTTTTTCTCGTGCATGTATCTCGACATGGTGGTGTTGGTAGGGTCAAGGAAGTGAAGATATGGAGGCGACAGGAAGGTTTAAGACAAGGTAGCGTTGTACACTGAGATGGAGGGTTGATCCCCGTCAGATACAGCCGCTCCAACAGACGGCTCTCGTTTAGAAGACGGCGCCGTTGATCAGAGATCTTTGTAGCGCCAATTGTCAATGTCAATCTTTGTCCAATTCAAGATTGCCGTTGATGGCACCCGAGACGAACTGTAACAAGTTCTAGCCTAAAGAGTCAACTGTTTCGGCGTTAGAGGGATAGAGAGAAAGAGAGGGGTGGAATCTGGAGTAAAGTCGGTGTGCTGGGGTGTAACTCGCCAGAGAGGGGCAAAGAGTGGATGAGGGGGGCAAGACCAGGCAAGGTGAAAGTGAGGTGTCACGGTGTGTGGTTTTTCTTCGCCTTGTGCGACCTGGCTGACGGTGAGGGGAGGGGAGGGAGTTGCAGCAGAGATAAACCGGGGATAGGGTCACCAGAAAGAAGAGGGGGGAAGAAAGAAACTCCGCAATGGACGGCCCGATTGCGACGGCGACGGCGGTGGGGGGGAGGCTACTCCAGGTCCTGGTCCCCCCTTCCGGGTTCCGGGGGCTGCCGCAGGCGCAGGCGGTTCTTGGACTTGAGGAATGTCAGTGGAGGGAATTCGTTCGACGGCTAGACGAAAGGGACGAACACCCCCCGGTTGGTGATCGGCGCTCCGTACGGCCGGCCATGACGATGAGATTTGGAGTAGGGCGGGCGGGGGGTTCCCTCTGTACTTTGTTGAGGAAATGGGTGTGGTGGTCAGGGTCTCCAATTGATGGCCAAGAGATGAGTTCCGTACCTGGGCCGTATCACCTTCTGGCGTGCCATGTGTGTTCCGATAGCCCCGAGTACCAATACAATTCGGGCTTTGTTGACATGCGTCGTTGATTCTGCGATCTACGCCGTACAGCATTTTTAGTCCTTCGAGCTGTGCCCAAACGTGTGAATGAAGGCGGCAGCAGCGTTGGGTGGTATCATTTTCCGGGGTATGGAGCCAGGGACGTCTAAATCCGCTTTGTAAATCCGCGGCCTTTTCCTTCGTCCACTCCAAACAAGCTACTGGGTCTTGATCGACTGTATCGTGAAGCTCTGCTACGTGTGTGACCACTGCCAAGGGCAAAACGTCCAAAGGGGGCTTGTTGGGAGACAGATGTCACGGAGCTTTTTTCTCTAATGTTTAATTCTGGGGTTGTTTGGGGGCTATATATGGAGCTGTTTCACGATAGTTCGATCAGCCAAGAAGGAGGCTGGTTACGGAAGCGCCTGTTCCCGCGATGGGGCTCATGTCGTCTTACCCACGAAACATCAGGCCAGGACAGAAAACATGAAGGATTCAGCCTGGAGCTGTCTTCTGACGTTCGGAAATGGCGGCTGCACGGGTGGAATTTGCTGGGGAGGTTCTCGACATTGACATGGGCTGCTTGCTCCGTCTTAGGGAGATTCGGTCAGGTGGATTCTTGTTACGGAAGAACATCGAGGACCTTGAGAGAGCGCTTCCGTACATGGACGAGCAAGCCATCAACGTTCTCAGACACGGCGATGGCTTTCCCTGACTTACACCTAGGGGACCACGCCAATGCATGCAAAAGTTGAGTTCGGCCAGCGTCACTACGTGCAAACTCTAAGGAGGAAGGCTTGATTTGCTTTCATGGCACATTAGTCTGCTTGGTGCCGGTCCTGAAGGTGTCTTTGGTGTCCAAGTTGATGCAGGTGACTTTAGTGTCTGCTGCCTAGCAACGCCCAACAGCTCTGAATTTGCTTGAGTACGCTCTGTGACTATTCCCTCAAAGAAATATGCTTGGCATCGCCGTAATATACGAGAATCATGAGCCTGTCATACCCCCAGTATCAAAAATGTCAGATTCTCGCAGGACAATAGCTTGCGCCATAACAATAACAACATATTTTCAACGTATGCAGAGTCACAGTGAGTTCAGAGGGCCTTTTCTACATGATTAGGAAGTAACTGGATTTGAAAGAGCACACGGCATAGAATCATGTAGGTATGTTTTGTGATATGATGAAAACCACATTTCTTTTACCGCCCCCGTGCCGCTGCGCCCGAACAACACGTTTTGGGATCGTTCATCGCTCGTTATCATTCGGAATAATAAGATGAGCTGAAAGAAGGTGTGTCGTTTCTCGGATGTTTGTTGTTGGAAGAGGACCTGACATTGATGAAGTTGGGCGAATAGAACGAACATACCGAAGACGCAATGATAGCCAGGAGAATGATTGTCTTCGTTTGCAACTGACTAACCTAGAAAGAGTTGCTTCTTCTCTCTGGGAATTGAAACCATAAAGCTACTAGCAGCTTGACTGGCAGTAATGGCACTATTGAAGCTAGCTGTCAATGTTAGTTGAAGCCCATGGGCGATCGTAACTCTCGATCTGCACCACACATACCATCAAAACATCGCACGCTGAATCTCACGATGCACCCATTGAAACCCACAACACCACACTAATGTCAATCAAATGTTTCTCACCCAGTCAGATGCACGAAGCATTTGGAAATTTCATAGAATTGCAGTTTTCCTCTGGCAGCCACAAGCCACGCCATTTGCCAGCTGCCCCATCAGAGCGGGACCTGCCACCTGCAAGCCGCACGCTGGGTGGGCTACATGAGTCCCTTGCCGGGGTGCAACTTCCAAGCAAGGACCCGGTCTTCTCCGGTTCCTTCCCAATTCGCCCAGATCGTCTAGTTGGTTAGGATGATACGTTGTGGTCTCCATCACTCAGCGATACCGTGTTGACGGCGGTTCGAATCCGCCTCTGGGCAATTACTTTTTGTTTTTTCGTGTTAATCCAGAGGTCACGCACGGTTGGGCACTCCACCGTCAGAGAAATGTTTGCTTCAACTTCTCCCTTCGGCTTCGGTTTTTGCCGATTCATGAGGGAGGTTCGCCAAAACTGACTAATGAGTCGAGTCAGTTAGAGAAACACGAGATATTAGACGCCAAGAGGGTCTGGAGGAGTCCTCGTTCACCCCGTACATGCGCGTCCACGAGCACGTCCACCAACTCAATCTGGGATGAGCAATGCGCCACACACCTTTCACGGCATATCCGGGGTCGGGTCGCCGAGGCGGAGTAGATTGGGATCCGGCGCCCGCAAGTTCCCCGACAACAGCCAGATCCTGGGTTCCGTGAGGAGGCTACAGTTTTCAGCACGACATTTCTCGATTTGCCTCTCAACTCCAAATGGCCCGTGACCGCAACCAGAGCCATGCAATCCGAGAGAAGTCTCGTTGAGGTATCTATCTGATGGCCTCATGTAGACGTGAAAGATGGAGACTGTCCCCGTTTTTTTCTTGGTATACAACGGCCCGAGCACCTAGTGTCTCATGGGCGGCTCATCTATTAACAAACATTCTCACCAGATGCCTCATACATGGGAGGCATCACTCCATCCTTCCATCCCCAAACGGCGACTTGCAGGATCGCAAGACCACATGTCCGTATGCACGCGCCAACTCCATCATTCTCGAATGGCTCGGCATCACAGCTGACGACGAGCTCCGCCTGCGGCCACCATACATCTTTCCTTCAACCCCTAGCCCCCTCATTCGCCAAGAATCTCGCTCTCGATGAGGCTCTTGTAGAACTCTGGTTCGAGGAAGGTGGCCACGCTAACGTCTTCGCTCAGACCCTTTCTCCTCCTGGTCTTCAACACAAAGTCCCTAGCCGTAGCCTGCGCGCTAGCCGGCTGTAGTGGCCGGATGATGACCTCCTTGTCAAGAGGATCACCGGGCACAATACTCCAGCTGTCGAATGTCAGACTCACCATGGCCATGCCCTTCGTTTTGATGCGCAGATCTGTCTCGAAACCGAACGAGTCGATGACAGGAATGAGGCCGTTGACACGGTAAAGCGGCGTGCCGGCCACGGGGCCGTCCTGGAGAACGTGGCCACGGCGTCTGGCCAGCGTCGTGTAAACCTCCGTGGCCGAGTCTTGAGGTCCAGTCACAGAGACGGAGTACAGAGGCTCCATTAGTCTAGGTGAGGCCATCAGGAAGGAGGAGTAGCATGCTCGGCGGGAGGTGGGGATGATCTGACCGCCTCCCCTGAAGATGGCTTCCGAAGCCAACGACACATCGGTGATTCTGAACTTTGTATTTCGAATGGCTGTCACGATATCGAGTTAGTGTACCGGTGAGCAAGCAGAGGCTGGGAAATGGTCTGATGTGGGGACAGAATTTCTGCTAAGGGCCGTGCCCCCATCCCGGTCAACCAAAGAGAGGCATGGTTGTGGGAAAAGGGTCTCGTGCGTAGAAGCAGGTTTTCTTCTGACAGGTCGGGGTAGGTGAGGGGGCCTTTGCTGCTAATGCAAGCCATGCCTAAGAACCCAACCCCAACCCCAGTTCCATGTGTTGGACCCTCCCGGGAGCTATTTCCGCCTGGTCGGGGACCAATAACGGCGCCTAGCGAGGGCATTGAAGGACGACACGAAGACAGGAGGCGAGGAAGAACAGGGGCAAGGAAATGGGGGAACTCACGCTCTTCACACAGGGGGCCTTCTCTGGTTGCCCAGCTGAATCCTTGGCGGATGGTCTCCTTGACCGTAGTCAGGAGCTTCTTGTCGACCTGCAGCTCGTTAGCCTGTTGGTTCCTTCAAAGAGGTCAGTCAAGGAAGCCACCAGGCCTTACCTCGGAGGGCAACGTGTCGTCTTGAAGGATGTTGGGTCCCATCTCATCAGGACCGAATGCCCAGATGCTTCTCGCCGCCAGTTTGTCCCAGCCGTAAGTTTCTTCGAAGTAGTTGGCCGTCTTGCGGATTGGATCCCGAATCTTGACCTTGCCGGACTCAATGTCCTCTGAGATGCCCTTGTCAAGCTGCTCGGCGACCATCGTGATCTTATTCTTCTTGTTCGGCGTGATCGCATAGCACTTTGTCGCCGACTGCTCTACGACCGTCTCGCAGAATCGGGTGACGGGGTCGGACACCTTGATCTCCATATCGGCATACAGACGTCTCAAGTCGTGCAAAACACAATCCATGTACAGCTCGCCCGTACCCAAGACAATGTGCTCTCCTGACTCTTCGACCTTGGTAGTGATCAAAGGATAACTCTTTTGGATTTTGCGTAGGCCGTCCAGCATCTTTGGCAGTTCTGAGGGGTTGATGGGCTCAACAGCGACCTTGAGGACCGACTCTGTGAAATGAGTGACGGGTTTGAAGATGTACACATCTTCGTCGTCCTCTAGCTTTGGGGGGAAGATCGTCGCCGTCTTGACGATCGAGTTGTCGACACCACTCAGCAGCACAAAATTGCCTGCTGGCACACCATCCGTGGGAATGTTGTACCTTGATTCGCCGATGAAAACATCTGATATCGTTGCCATTGCCATATCTTCGTCGTCGTCTGTGGAGTAGCCTTCTCCTAGGACTCTGACTTGTGTGTCGGGGCGAGCCGTACCACTCAAGACACGACCGAAAGAGTAGAAGCTCTTGGCATCTGCCGTGCTGAACAACTTGGAGACGTGAATCACAAGAGGCCCGTCCTGGTTGCAGGCCTTCATGGATCCGGCAACCTTAGTGTCCAGTGGTCCAGTGTAGTACTTCTCCAGGTATCTCTCAGCAGCCTCTTGCGGTGATGGGACGTGTCGCACAATCATGTCGACGAAGCCCGTTGAAGGACCGAAAAATTGTTCGCACACCAGCTTCAACAAGACCTTGGCATCGGCCTTATATTGAGATGGCTTGAGTGTGATGCCCAGTGTGCCCAATACTCTCTTCAACTCTTCAGGGGTGTCGCTGATGGTATGGGTGAAGATCTTGTAAATCGGTTCCAGAACGAACTTGACGAACGAACGGCTTGAGTGAGTCTCTGTCGGTTTCCTCGTGAAGTTGCGCTTCTCAGGGTTGAAGTAGATGTCTCCCCATAACCTCTTCGCGAAATCCTCGGTGTTGATACCGCCGTAAGTGTCGGTGTACATCTTCGAGAATGACTGCAGAGTGAAGCACCAGCCCATGTCGGTACACGCGAAAAGAACATTTCCTTTCTCAGGACTGATCCGTTTCGTCTCGCCTTTGCCCGGGATCGTGTTCTCGATGACTGTGTTGACCTCCTCGATGACATGCTTGAGCTTGAAGTACGCGTCCTTAGGGGGCAGCTTCAGCTCAAGAACGAGGCGATCCATCTTGTTGATGATGAGCGTAAGCGGAATATCTTCCAAAACCGCGTGCTTGATGATCTGCTCTGTGTTGACCTGAACGCCTTCCACCACATCAACGACCAAGCAGACACCATCCGCCAATCGCAAGCTGGCCGCCACCTCGTCGACGAAGTTAACGTGGCCCGGCGTATCAAGAATATTGACCAGATGCGACTTGCCCTTTGTGCTCTGGAGCACCAGGCTCATGGGCGCCGCTTTGATCGAAACTCCTCTCTCCCTCTCGACTACGTGGACGTCGGTGTATCGAAGCTGCTCGTCTCGGTTCTTGCCAACGCGGCGCTCCAGTCTGTCGGTAATGTCATGGGTTTCGAGGACCAGCATGTCCATGAACGCTGTCTTGCCGTGATGGAGATGTCCTGCCAGCGCCACATTTCGTATTTGATCGGGGAAGTTCATCAGGTCGGTCATGAAGCTGCGGTCGAAGAAAACGGGTGGCAGATCGGTCTCCTCGATGTTGAACTTCTTCTGCTCGACAGGAGCAATGATGGGCTGCGTAAGAAGCTGCTCGTCCTCCTCCCGAACTAGAACTTCGACCTCGTCTCCGTAAACTTGTTGCGCCGTGGGATAGTACTGTTTGTCTTCGTGCAGGATGATCGCATTCGACGGGCCGTCGTCTGTCATCATGTCAGCATCAACTTCACTGGAAAACAGTGCAGAGTAAATACCATCGATCTCCATCAGCTCCTGGCCCGTAGGCGCAGGTGCCTCGCTCGCATCGTCTCCATAGTAGTCCGCATCCATGCCCCTTTCAGACGCCTCTTCAGAACCGACATCCTCGCCGATGAAGTTACCGAACCTGTGAAGGAAAAGTCAGTCTGATGTCAAAGTCGAAGTGAAGGGGAAAAGACATACTCATCGTATAGGTCGTCCATTGTGGCGTCTAAATGCTCGGGTGGAGTTCGTCGTTGCGGTTTGTCTAATGACGATAAATCTCGACCCAGTCGCGGTCGCAGTCGCAGAGTCGCGCCTAGAATGACCCTGGCCTCACAAACTTTCTTGCAAGGCTGCAGTGTGGCTAGTGCACATGTGTGGCTGCGAGGCTGGAACACTGCTGCGATATGCTTACTCCCTGGCTTCGCTTCTCGCGCTAGGGAAGCAGGTACACTAGGACCGGCAGGGGGTCAGTGCTTCCTGATAGCTACTGCGCCACAGGGACCCGGACGGGACACCGCAACGTCCCAGCTGTGCTAGGGTCCGGTCGGAGCAACCCCACCAAACATCAGAAAAGGCGGCGGTGGGAGGGGTGGATGATTAGAAGCACGTCTTCCTAATAAGTGACCTGCCGCCCAACAAAATTATTTGCTTCAATTTGTTTGCTTGCTCTCTCCAGGTCACACATAAACAAGACGGTCCCCCGGCTCTGTTCTCGACACAATCTTCTATTCTACAACCACCTCGAGTCTCACTTGCACGACGTTCACAATGGCCAACCTTCCCCCCGTTTACATTGTTTCTGCCGCCAGAACCCCCGTCGGTTCGTTCCTTGGGTAAGTCTGGACCCTACTCCGTCGGAGAAGAAGAAATGTTCACCGCCTGGATCGAGAAGCTAACGTTTTGCCTTGGACAGCTCTCTGTCTAGCCTGAGCGCCACGCAACTGGGCTCCCACGCCATCAAGGGTATGTAAATGTCTTATCAACGGTCCGGAGCAAGCGCGGGGCAGTCCACCGCTAACCCCTCGTCAACAGCCGCCGTCGAGCGTGTCCCCCAGATCAAGCCCGAGGATGTCGAGGAGGTCATCTACGGCAATGTCCTGTCCGCCAAGTATGTCTGATATCACGGATAAGCTGCAAAGCTGCAAAAACAAACAAGATTGCTGACCACCCATCGCTATCTAGCCTCGGACAGGCCCCCGCCCGCCAGTGTGCTCTCGGAGCCGGCCTCTCTCAGGGAGTCGCCGCCACGACCGTCAACAAGGTCTGCGCCTCCGGCATGAAGGCCATCATTCTCGGCGCCCAGACCATCCTCACCGGCACCGCTGACATCGTCGTCGCCGGTGGCACTGAGTCCATGACCAACACCCCCCACTACCTCCCCGTCCTCCGCAACGGTGCCAAGTACGGCAACCAGACCCTCGTCGACGGTGTCCTCCAGGACGGTCTGACCGACGCCTACGGCAAGAAGGAGCACATGGGCATGGCTGCTGAGCTTTGCGCCAAGGACCACGACATCACCCGCGAGCAGCAGGACGAGTACGCCATCAACACCTACAAGAAGGCCCAGGCCGCTACCGAGGCAGGCATCTTCTCCAAGGAGATTGCCCCCGTCGAGGTCTCTGGTGGCCGCGGCAAGCCCGCCATCACGGTTGACCGTGATGACGAGGTCAAGAACCTCAACGAGGCCAAGCTTAAGGCCATGCGCCCCGCCTTCATCCCCAACGGCGGTACCGTCACGGCCCCCAACGCCGCCCCCCTCAACGACGGCGCCGCCGCCGTCGTTCTCATGTCCGAGGCCAAGGTCAAGGAGCTCGGCGTCACTCCCATCGCCAAGATCCGCGGCTGGGCCGACGCAGCCCGCGAGCCGGAGCGCTTCACCATCGCCCCCGCGCTGGCCATTCCCAAGGCCATCAAGCACGCCGGCCTCACCGAGAAGGACGTTAACTTTTACGAGATCAACGAGGCCTTCTCCGTCGTCGCCCTCGCCAACATCAAGCTCCTGAACCTCGACCCTGAGACCGTCAACGTCTTCGGTGGCTCCGTCGCCATTGGTCACCCTCTGGGCTGCTCCGGTGCCCGCATCGTCACCACCCTCACCACCGTTCTCCGCGAGAAGAAGGCCAAGATTGGTGTTGCCGGTATCTGCAACGGCGGCGGCGGCGCCTCTGCCATTGTCATCGAGAACCTGCAATAAGCTGCGCAAAGCACATGCTAAACTGCAAACGTTCTCGGAGCTCCGAGCTGGTGCGGGTCTGTAATTCACTAGAGAGGACCTTGAATTCACTCGGAGAACGTGGGGACTGGCGGCATGGTGGGGTTCCCTGAGCTGAAGAACGAGAAAGAAAAAAAACAGGCCACGACCCCTCTATCCAGCACAGGTGCCGCGACTTGCGCGCGCCGCGCCGCCGGCCATGACTCCCCCGGCCCGTTTCTGCAGATTATTTGACGCACCAAAAAAGAAGGAAGATGGTCACATTTGGTTCCCGTATTATCCTCGCGGCAAAAAAAAGTTTCAGTATACCAGCGTTTTAGATATAACGCATCGGGCCACCCCGTTGCAGATTTTTTTTACCTAATATCACGAATCAGACGACTGCATCTTTTCCCAAAAGCTTCCCATCTGCCGTGATCTGCGCCTTTTTTCTGCGGCTAGTTCCTGTCGTGATACTCCACCTGCGTCGCATCCTGACATGCGTGGCTGTGCTGCTCGAGTTATCAGATTTTTTCGATAATCAAGCTCGTGGGGGGGTGGAGGGGGGAAGGAGGCAACGGATCCAAACCGAGCGACGAGACCTGATTTGGTGTCGCGACATCGGCCGAGGTGGACCACACGTCCAAGGATCACTCATCTCATGGGGATCACTAATCTCATGCCGCGGGAGGGTTCGCAGTGTTCGTCGTATGCATAACTCTTTTGTGCAACTATGGTAACTATTGTACATCGAGGGAGTAGAAAAGGAAAGGAAAAGGAAAAGGAACTGAATGACAACTAAGTATCCCTCCAGCTGAGAAGACCGCCTCCTTTTTTTCTTGCTCTCCCTCTCTCCCTACCCATCACCTCAAGGCGCGGTACAAACAGAAAAACGAAGAAATGAAGTAAAACGCCAATGACCCAATCCCACGCCATGCCAAAACCCCCCGAGCCAAAAAGAATTAGGCGGGGTGAGGGTTATTTAAAGATAAATCCATGTGAGCCCTGGGTAACATGGCAGCCAGCCATTCAGCACCGCTATGCCGCCTGGTATCTTCGTAATTGTGAAATGCATTCTTCACCCAGTCCCCTTACTTTCCCACAAGACACATCTGTCCTCCCGGAATCCGCACGTGGCCGAGCGTTTGCAGAGTTGTTTCAATCCGCAGTGTCCATGGCGTCGCCAGCCTCAGAAGACGGGAGAACGCCCTCCTTAAGCCACTTTGACCAGCCCTCATTGGACTTCTGCACGTCCGCCTGGCTCATGCCCTTCATCCACGGGCTGTTGAAGACAAACTTCTCACGAAGTTTGGTGTCGCGCTTGTTGCTTGCGTTCTTGAGTCTCTCGAGATGGCGCTCCCGAGCTTCCTTCTCCTTGGGAATGTTGTCATAGACAAAGTACTCAGACGTACCTGCCTTCCACACCATCTTGCTCGTGTTGAGGCAGATGCTGATAGAAAGGTCCTCATCATACGAAATCGGCTTGGGGATCTGGCTTTCATCGAACTTCTCGTCGCTGGCTGGCAAGTTCCTGGCCAGGACAGCCTTCTGAAGCTTGTGGCGAGGCACACCTTCGGTCGGCTCGACTTGGATGAAGGACGAAATGTAATATTGCCAACGGTCTTTTGCCTTCATCTCGTCCATGTAGAATGTCGTGTCTTCACGTTGAAGCCAGCGAACAGTCGCCTCGGTCTTTTGCGGGAACTAAATTTTGATTAGATGGCGATGAAACCCGTTGTTGATTCAGACTTACCCAGCAAATGACAAACATCTCTCCATCCTTGACGCATTTCTCCGCATACTTCCTAGCGGCGATTTCGGCCTGGTAGTTGGTCTCGTCCTTCTCGCGGCTGTGAAGATATTGCTGGATCAAATCCGGCGTCTTCTCCTTGGCGTCAGTGCTACTGCAGGTCAAGGCTAGACGGCAGAGAGTCTTCAAGAGGTCCTGAATGGTGTAAAGCTTCCACCCGCTCTTGAGGTAGTAGTGACGCAGTACATCCTGGTACTTGACCTCGTCAATGTCGCCGGCAATGTACTCCTCCACTAGGTCGAGAGTCTTTGGCCAAAACGTTGAAGCATCATCCTGGGGACTAAAGTAGTTCAGGGTGTTATCGGCCAACCCAATGTCCTTGGCAGGACGCGGCCGGCTTTGGCGATTGATCTCCTCGATGACGCTTTCTTTGCTCTCCTTCACGTCTCTCAGCCTGGTGTAAACAGTCTGAAAGACGTTGAAGAAGACGAAGATGGTTTGGTTGCAGAAGAAGTTGTACCATGGCCTGGAAAAGAAGCCATCTGCCTTCAACTCGCCGTCCGCAGTCAACAGAGTATCGTCGCCTGTGGTGACGATTGGCTGAGGAACGATGGGCATCCAGCGCTCATTGGACACTTCCGGTCCAGCACCTTCTTCGGGTGCATCGGGCATCTCTTCTTCGTTGGCAGAACCAACTTCAGGAGTAGTTTCCTTGCTACCAGATGCCGCACTTCCCTCCTTCTGCCCGCGAGGCTTGGAGCCATTACGTCCAGGATCCAGAACGCCACGAAGCAAGTCACCCCTTCTACCGGTACGGCGGCTGCGGCCGTTGGTCAACTCCGCCGGGACAGACTCTTCGTTATCATCCTCTTCCGAGACATCCTGCAGTCTGGGTAGGCGTCCCTCGATTTCCTCTTCAGGAATATCGAAGAAGGCGGGGATAAAGGTCTCAAAGAATTCCGTGATGCGTTCCTTTTCGGGCACGCTGTGCTGGCCGCTGCTGACGGTGTAGAGCATCATCAGACGGAGAAGCTCGATGACAACCTTCTTGTCTGAGAAATCCCAGACGAGCTGGTGGCGTGGGGCCTTGCCCTTCAGGCTGCGCTGACGTTTCTGCTCTTCAGCCTTCGTCTTGATGACGTCCACGAGATGCTTGGCAGAGAGATTTCTCTTGTCATTTTGCTTCACCAAAATACCCATGTGGTCAAGACTCTTGAGATGCATGTTCTCAACTTGCGCGTGCCACACCTTCTCCCACTCACGCTGCGAGAAGCGCCACTCCTCATCCTTTTGCTTCATGCGAGTCAAAACTATCGGAACCACATTGAGCGGGTTCGAGAACAAATCGTTGACGACCTCAGGACCCTTATCACCGTAGATCTTTTTGCAGACGCGCTTGAACACAGACGTACTGTGGCCGGCCAACGCCTGCGGCATCTGGAAATGCTCACGCTCAACTGGCGACATGACGCTGATTTGCTGAGCAACAGGCTCCAAGAGCTGGATGCATTTCAAATTCGCCTCAATGTTGAAGTCGTAATCGTGACGTTCTTCCTCGATACGGTGAAGGCCTTCTTCAAATCCGTTCTTGCGGTGGGCAACGAATCCTGAGTCCTCGGAGGCCCACGTAGGGTGAGAAGCCCAATCGTCGTTCAAGACGGAGTTGCAGAGTTCGTCGCGACCGCTGCAGGGTTTGAGTCGTTCCTATTCAAGAGTCAGTACAGGCGCAGGTTCTATGTAAATTTGACACATACCCGCTTTGGCAGGAGACGGTAGCTAGGACCGTAGCCGCGGCAGTTGCTCAAGGAAACCTTGCCGCTCGGCGGGGCAGGGCGGTTGTCGACGACCTCATCATGCGGCTCATACTTCAGGAAAGCCTTCCAGAATCCCATAAGTTCAGGATTGGCAGCAAAGAAGACACTGCCCTTGTGGAAGACCGTGTTGCGATCGATGATGGATTGGCTGAACAAGTTGCAGACTTTGAGGAACTCGTTGAAAGCCGTCTTGTTGCCAAGATACTTCTTCACCTTCTCAAAGAAGGCGATCTCGTCGGAGTTCGACGTGGTAGCCGTAGGCGGTCCGAGAGGCTCAGGTAGGATCGGCGTCAACGTCGGCTCGACCGCTGGCGCATCAGCAGTCAGAGCCTTATTGTGTGCAAGCTTCGCTCGCTTGTTGTTCGCGCTGGTTGGGGGAGCTGCGCCGGGTGCGGCTCGCATCACTGGGGGCGGCACTTCGGAGACGGCAGGCGCGGGAACAGGCGTCTGCTTGTCGGGTCTTGGGCGCTTCTTGTTATTCTCCTTGGAAGCACTCGGGGGTGCGAAGCTGCCCAACGGGGGCATCTTTTGTGCACCCATGGGCTGCGGAGTTTGGTTCGGACCAGGACCAGGCGGTTGTTCCTCTCCTGGACGGCCAGGTGTACCCTTCGCTTGGCCGGCGGACTCGGGCAAAAACTGCTTGAAATCTTCCAGCAGGTCCGGTGCGGTGTGGAACAAAGTAGTGACTTGAGCGTACACGTCCTGAATAGGCTTCTGTTCGCGTTGGTAGGTTTGAAGGATCTCGAGGAATTGTTTGTAAATTTCTGGCTTGTCCTGGAAGCGATTCTGCAGCGTGGTTAGCGCGCGAGGTCTCAGAATTCGACGCGGCGGTGGTGGGTGGATTTTGCAGGTAAACTTGCCTTTATTTTGTTAACGTAGCTAATCGCGTGGTTGAACTCGACAGGACCGCGGCGTTCAAGGTTTGCCTGCTGTTGTTGCTGCTGGCTTGCGTTGCCGTTGACATTTGCGGGTCCGGTGACCGGAGTAGGGGTATGCGCGTTGCGAGGCGGCTGTTGAGAGTTGGCAGGGTGCGCACCTTGAGGTTGAGGGCCACGCTGCTGAGCACCCTGAGCCTCAAAAGCAGCAGCAAGATTCTGAGCCTGCTGGCCAAAACCACCAGGGCCGTTCTGAACAGGCGTGCTGAAGTTGGCCTCGGGACTCTCGATACTGTGCTGAGGCTGCTGCTGTTGTTGCTGCCAATTGGGGCCGCGCTGGGGAAAGAGCGATTGCGAAGAGCCTCCAGGATGCGCGTGTCCGCCGTCGACCTGCGCGCCCCGGCCAGCGATCGATTGAACCGTCGTACCCATAGGTGTCGTAACTCTGATGGTATTCGGATCGTTACCAGCGCCGCATTCGATTCGGTAACCGGGCGGCAGGAATGTGTTGAAGCCCTGGATTAGGTTGGGGTGGCCAGCGAAAAGCTCCGAGACACGATTGAT